ATGACTGCTGTATAGGTATATGCACAGGGTTATTTTTTTTTCGGTGATTATGATTTTCTTCATAATAATCTTCATTACCAAGGGTGTTGGAAGGAAAGAACAATTACTGAATGAAAAAAAACGCTTTTTAAGGATACTAACAACATTTCTGTAAACAGCAAAATTCTAGTGAGAAAAAGCTATTCATTGAGACAAAGGAAAAACTTTAGTGTAGTGCTGTATTTTTTATTTTCCTAAGATTTTTTGCCATTTTCACATATTTGCCATTGCTTTTTGCCATTTTCACATATTTTCCTAAAGTCACTTATGCTTCTTTAGTATTAGATAGCAATGAAGAATTAGTGTGCCTCTGCTGCCACATTTCTTGTTGCCTTGAGCACAAATCCTACCCAGGGAGTCACTGTAGAATGGCGACATCAGTATCTCTTTGAGACCCAAACCTGGCAGCTGGGTGGACAGATAGATTTGAAGCTGCAATTTCATTCTTGTGCTTTCTGCTGCTTTTTGGCCACTGAATTCTTGCGTTTCATGCGGGTGGGTTTATTTCCCTTCGCGTAGTTGCAAGGAATCCTGTAGACAGTATTTAGGCTAACCAGAGCACATGCAAACTGTGCCAAAGCAGAGGTAACCCAGCTCTTGCCAGCACTGAATTATTCTTTATGCTTCTGCTGTCCAGGAAAGTGACGCACTGTACTCCTCAGGTGCAGGTCTGTCCAGCGCCTCATCCCTGGCAATGCAGGAAATGCTGGATGGTCAAGGAAGTAAATCACATTTTCTCATTTAATGCATGCACATTAAAACACCAACTTCAAGAATAATTATAGCAAAACCTTTCTACTGTTCAGTGTATTTCTCTTTGCCTATTGTTTACAAGTGAATATTTGAAAGAGAGATTGTCATGACCTATGTGCAGATTTCACAAATAAAAGAGTATTTTCCCCTTGAAAGCCTAGGAGACAGTTTGACTGTACAGAGGTTAATGCCAGTATGTCATATAAAACTCTCTGCAACCTTGGAACTTCCAGAGGTATTTTTTTCCTTTTCATTTTATTGAATGTCCTACAACTACTCTCTGCTGTACAGTCTACAACTCAGCAGGCAGAAAAAATGAAAAGCAACAGCTAGTAGTTTTTGCCTTTGAATAGGGAGAGAGGTGATGGTACTGTGTGTGGAGAGGTGGCACTCATCACTTGTGCCTTAGGAACTTCCTTCTGCAAGTTGTGACCTCTGTCTGGAAAACTTCATTCAAGATACGGCAATATTGGCAATACGAATAAAGTTAAGAAAAAAAACAGAATAAAGAAGAATGTTTTAAAATAATTTTGATGGACATTAAGGTTTCTTACCCAAATCTTTATCCCACTTACCTTTCATCCCAGGCAGTTTCTTCTGGAAATAAGATTTCTGTGTCTGTAAGGACATGTAAGTGTAATCTCTTGAGAGCACATGGAAGCCAAGTGGGATTTCATCACTGTCACACCCCATCTTCTGGAAAGGAGTTTTCATAAGGACTTAAAAGGCTAACCCTGCCTGTTGCTGTGAGGTCTCTACTCTGTGAGGGGTGCACTAGCTACAGATACGTCTGCTGCTGATGCATGCAGATTGGTAAAGCCAAGGTTTAGTATTGTGTTCTGGAGCCATGAGAGTGATTTCATAGCCAAGGCTGTTTAATAGTTTCCATTATATCCCTGAGTTTATCTGCCCAGCTGGGTTGGCACAGGGGAGGGGGGAAGAGAAGATCTGAAAGTAGTGGCGGGAAGGGAAACTATTTCTAGCTGAAATTTACTTTTGATTACTTCGGCATTGGGTATTTTTTTTTTGTTTGCTGTGGTTTTTGTCAATTGGGCACAAAAATTGTGGTTGAGATACTAAATTTCAGAGAAGATGGGAAGTAGACAAAGTATAGTGGCAAAAATTTGCAGGATACTATTCACAGAGAGCTTTTCTTTCTTCAAAACAGGATCTTTAGAAAGAAATGGAAATCAATAAGAGTTCTGTTGGGATCATACCTACCTTTTAAGATGAGATTTTGAAAGAGGGAAAGATACTACCATTATCTTTTTACTCTGGATTTTTTTTTTTTTTTATGTGGGTCTTCTGTATGGGGGTTTGGTGGGCATGTTTTGCTTGCCTTTGCACTGATTCTGGCAAGAAGGATTGTTTTGATTTCATTTTCTTTCTCCGTATTCAGCACCTGTTTAACATTCTCTTTTCCAAGCCTTTTTTTGATTCTGCCTGTTTGCCCTGGGAACATGGACTTCCCCTCCAAATACCTAGCATGTGATAGCATATAGTACCTGTTAAGACTGTGATATTTCTTATGCATTCCTTTCTTTTAATGCTTAAAAATTAATAAAATTGCTTTACAAATATATGATATTCATCTGTCAGGTTTATTGTGGTCTTCTGTTAGGTACTGCTCCATATACTGTGTCTTGCCTAATGTGCCCTCTTTACACACTTAAGGAAAGACCTGCAGAAATAATATATAATCTGTAGAAAGAGCGGTCCTTAAAAAGACCACTAACTCGCATCTGCTTCTCCACACCATTACCTGAAAGGATGACGTGAAGCTTTTGGGAGGCTTGGATGTAAACTAAATTTGCATCGTTCTCCCAAGAAGATCCTCGTGTCTCCCCTTCCTCTAGGTTCACTCTGGATTTCTGGTTTCCATCAGGATTACTTTATGACACGGTTATTGTATATGATCTTAAAATAGGCATAATTCATTCTCTTGGTTCTGCAAGAACATCGATTTACGGTCTCCAAGTCTGTGTTTACTGGAGAAAGGAGAAAACTATAAGGCTAGTCTTCTTGTAACACAAGATGTGCCACTGCTGCCACATCACCACTCACCCTTACACCATGGCAGCATCACGCTTTGCTATTGTAAGTGAAAATCAGACACACTATTTTTAGGCAGCTGGAGGAACGGAAGTTTTTTGGCAGCTGTCTTAATTACAAAAGCAGAAAGAAAGCAGAAAAAAAATGTAGAGAGCCAGGACTAAAGTCATAAAACTGGGGTTTTTTTTCTGCTTTTAACCAAGTTATATCATCTTGCAAAACCTAGTGATTTGTTTCTTTTCTAATGAAAAGGTGTCTGTGATTTGGGGTGTGGGTTATTGGTAAATTGGCATATAAGTGAGTTTGTCCTTCACTGGAATTTCATAAATTGTGCGCTCCTTTTATTGTCTTGGAAAAGCACTTTAGACTGATGATTGCCTTAGGAGTATTCTATCTTCTGCCCTTGCTGCAAAGCTTTTAGTGCATCCACAGAACAGTGAGATAAGATTTTCTCAAAGAGGGAATTGACTTTCCAAAATGAACTTGCTGCAGAAATCTGAGCTGTTAGAGACCTGAGGAGATTCCAGCCGCTGTGTGCTATTGAAAATCAGCAGAAACAGGTTAGGAGGCAGACAGTTATGTCACAAAAGATGTTGGAGCCTACTCACAGATATTCAGAAAATTTCTCTTAACTTTTTCTCATTTGATTTAAATTCTACTGTCTTCCTCTCTTTTTATGATCTTTTCAAAAGAAAAATGTGAAAGAGCTAGTCTGTTTCTTACATACAGATACCTGTCACATGGAGGATTTTAAAAAACTGTATTTTGCAATGGTTTTGTTATGGAATTTAGATTTTATTGGTCCTGTGAGTAAAGCAAAACTTAATGGAATTTAAGTTCAGTATAACAAAACTATAAGCCTGATCTACTTCTAGAGATCTAGAGATCTAATCTACTTCAAATCAAAATAAAGCTGTGTTTTCTGCTGTCATACTGTTATTCTGTATTTTTAAGTGCTTGATATAACTGCTGATATAAATATTCTGGTAATTAAGTATGCAACAAACACTTTATTTTGATACAATGAGCTCAGTTTAGCCATGCCTGAAACCCTTTCCAGGAGCTTTTCTATGACACCACGGAGTGCAGTAATTAATCCCAGACCCCCCCCCCAAACTACAAAGATTTCAATACTGGATTTTATCCCTGTCTCCCCTTGAAGTGGAGATGTCAGAAGCATGTCTGTCCCATCCAGAGACAAGAAGGATGAAACAGGCTTCCCCAGCACCTGTGGCCAATTCCCGTCTGCTGGGTTGGGTCCCTGAACCGACTGCTGTGCTGGTGTCCAGCCACATTTGGGGTGGCGTTCGGTGGCCAACACCTCAGGACTAGCAGATGGGACACAGCACCTATGGGAGACTTGCACTGTTTTGGGGCGTCAAACTGAAGACAGCCAGGATAACCTAGAGCATCTTAAATGGCACTGGACACCAACGTGCAGCAGAGTTCAACCAGATCCCCTCTTTGTTGTCAATTTTTTTGCGGTTGCATATTTTAACATGCAGTGGCTTCCTTTCACCCCCACCAGTCCATGCTGGTGCCGTCATTTGGAGCGGTTGGGGTCAGGAGTATTGATATCGTTAATCAGTGTCACGTGTCTATTAAGATGCTATTTGAAAACAAACAAACAAAACACCCTTCAAAATCCATAAAACAAGAAAAGAGAAGAGCTTATTTCCCCTTAGATAGAAGTGACAGTGTCTGAATTTTGTTTATGGCATTAGGGGCTGCTTTTATTATAGCTACTGTTCTTTATCCCCAAATTAAAACAGACGTGTGAAATGAAAGCACAGAGTTACCTTTTACATGTTGAAAGACAGGACTCCAGTGTTATTGGTCATCCCTCCCCAATGTAGAGTTATGTGCATGTTAGTCAATTAGTAATATTCCAGAGACACTGTAAGAAATAACATTCTTTGATAGAGAGCTGTGATAGATGCTGCACATTTCTGTCTCTCTATTTGAAATTAATCCCTGAAACGTGGAACTGGGAAGACTCATTGCCAAAGCAGGTAATCTACTGGATAATCCAGGAGGAATAAATTTTAGTCATCACAATTATGTTGAATTTATCCTGGAGGAAAAAGCATATGTCCCTGAAGTGCTGTGCTCAGTCTGAAAATGACCGAGTTCCCTAATTTTTGCTGGGCTCCTACCTTACACCACTGCCTAAACGCTACCTCTTTCAGCAGCAGCAGCAGCAACGGCGGTGGCAGCCGGAAGGGCTTGGTCATGCTTGCCACGTTTGTCCTTCCTCCTCAAAGGACCACAAGCACTCTTCTCGCTCCGTCCTTACTGCTTTTGTGCCTGTTGATATGTCATGAGACCATGAATATTTAGTCTCTGGGGGACCTGTGTGGAAGGGTGGTTAATACAGCAGGGGCACAATCTAGTGCCTCTGAGCAAACCATGTTTTTGAGCAGCAAAGGAACGCTGAGCAACCCATGTTTTTGAGCAGTAAATGTTTTTGAGCAGTAAAGGTATGTGCTGATAAAGACGCTGAGCAACCCATGTTTTTGAGCAGCAAAGGAATGC